TCGGCCGGCGCGGGCACCATCGGCAAATTCTCATCTCTCTGGCCTAGCGAAGCGCCGGCGCGTGAAAGGCCCCGGGGAGCGATGGAAAAGGCTGAATGTTTTCCCCGAGCCCTGCCGCTCCCGTTTGAGGGCGGGCAGTGGGGCGGGTGGGGTCGCGCTTACGCACCTCCAGCTGCCGCGGGACCAGGACTGTGCGCACCCTCGGACCTCTGGCCTATTGCTTGCTCCAGAAACGTGGAAATGACATGTGCTAGGTGAGGAACGCCGAATGGTCGTCCTACAAATCTCTCCGGGCTCCCCAACAGCCCAGGAGTCATCAGATAGAGAGGGTATGGACCCAGGTCACAGATCCGGATCTGGATCACCGCGCAAGTGGTCCAGTCGGGCTCTGAACTCCAAGTTCCGTGAGCTGCTGTTGCCATCCGAGTTGCCGTCGTCGTGTCGGACTTAGAAATCACGGACTTGCTCGGGACTTTCAGGAATACGTCTGATCCGGTACACCGAGCCTGGGGCATGCTGGCCGTCGACCGGGGCAGTGATGCAGCCACCTCTGCGGGCCCCCTGACCCGGGGCTCCGGGCTTCCCCCGGCCCGCTCCGCGAGGTGGGTGCTGTTGCGGTCCGCGCGCGCGCGCGCGCAGACACCAAGCACGGACGCGGGCCCCCAGTCGCACAATTGCCACAGCTCTAGGTACCAGGGGTTAGCACTGCTAGCTTTGATGGAACCCCTCTGTTTCCTCTGGTGCCCGGGGAGGGCCCCTTCGAGTTTTCTTTCCCGCAGCCCAGGAGTCCACTGGGGGCCTTTGACGCTGTGCAGCTCAAGGGGAAGGAGGGGGTGTTAGGATCAGGATCACCTGCCCAGGGTGGGGCGTACGGAAGTGGGGGTGGAGTGGGAGTGGTTCTAACTACTCTGAGCTCACCCCCTGCGGAGGCTCCCAGGGGCTCTGGAGCCTCCGCTGCTCCAGCATCTCTGAGTGTCCACTGTGTTCACCTGAGACCCCTAGGTCCCACGAGAAGGGGAGCAGGGGGGAGGGGGGAAACTGCTAGAAACTCTGGGAGATTCTGTAGAAGCTGGGATGAGAGCACCCATCCCAGAGGATAAGTGAGCTTGGGTCCTACCCCTGGATTCCCCTAGCATCACAGAGGAGCACCGCCAACGCCCACTTATATACAACAAAGGTTCTCAATGAGGACCTAATGCCAGGGGCTTAAGTGGAGAGGAAATGTTTTGAGAATGATGAGGGCAATGAATGTACAAATGTGCTTTACCCAATTGATGTGTGTATGGATTGTGATAAGAGTTGTATGAGCCCCTAATAAAACGATTAAAAAAGAAAGAAAAAAATTACTCAGTGCCCCCTGGCAATTCAATACATTTGTACTGTAGATAACCCATAATCCAAGATAAAGTGTTGATATCTGATTTGCAGCCCTCCCACCATCATTCCAGCACTCCCAGGGGGTGATGTCACCTACTTTGGGACACACTGATAGACAGTGACCCAACCAAAAACCCACTCACTGTCATCAAGTAGATGCCCACTCATGGTGGCCCTATAGGAGGACAGGGCAGAACCGCCCCTGCCCGTTCCTGACACACACTCTTACAGGAGCCTTGTCTTTCTCCCAGAGCGACCAGTGGTTTCAAATTGCTGACCTTGGCAGCCCAATGTATAACCACCACAGTGCCAGCTATACAGGGCCACACTGGCACAATTATATGATTATATGTACAGACACACACTCATGCACAGCCATGCACTGCACCACACTTGGTCACCCGGACTGCCAGTTGGCGCTATGCATTCGGCAGACACTCCCTGGAGAAAGTGGCGCTCTGGCCCACTGGGTGGGGACTGCCCAGCCCAACACCATCCCAGAGACACCTTCCGTTTGCCTTCCCCTGACTCCTATTCTCTGCTCCAGCTGAAGGGAACTGTCTGGGGTGACACAGCTGAACCTACACCCCCCACCCCCTGCCAAGGCAGCCTGTGGGGGCCACTGGACTCTAGGCAGGGCCTCCCCCACCCGTGGCTCACTGGGCAGGAGCTTCCAAGGATGAGAAGTCACAGCTGGACACTCCTCGGACAGCCACTCAGGTTGGGGAGACAGTGGTACTCTGATAGCCCCAACTCAGAAAGCTAATGATCTAGTGGGGCCAGGCTGCCATTGGTATTGTCTAAGGGGTTGTCCCATCCACACCCCCAGCCTTCTCGTTGGTTGCCTTTTCCCCAGGGGTGCCCTTTGCAAAACTTTTGGGAAGATACACATCACCACGTGGAGGGGAAGACGGAAAGAAGTGAACACAGGTGCATGTCTACTCTTTAGGGCAGTGCCTGGCATCTGTAGGAAACAATCAATAAGCTTTGCTCTCACAGGAGGGAAAAGGACACAGGAGGCCAGGTTCTTGCCTGAGGCCACACTTAGTGGTGGGGTTAAAAAAATCCCAACATTTCCTGATTGCTTGGTCGGGGTCTGGGTACCTCAGTCGTTCCTGAAACCAGATGAGGCGATCAACAAAGCAGTGCATGGTGTCTAAGGGCTCTGCTGCTAGCGCAAATGTTGGCAGCGCACGCCCATCAGCCCCTCTGCCCGAGAACCAGGCGGCAGTCGCTTCCTTAAAGATTCACAGCTTTGGAAAGCCTCGGGGGTACTTCTACCCCCATCCTACAGGGTCGGTATGAGTCAGTGTGGACTCAGCAGCAGTGGGTTTGTTTTTAGGTTTTTAGTGGTTTAAGAAGTTTAGTCACCACGATTCAAAATCCAAGTAGTTAGAGAAATTAGATCCTCAGCCCACTGCTGGTTCTAAAGGTGGTCCTCGGTACACCGCGCTGGTCTCATTAGCACCCCTAGTACAGTCGGCAAATGGGCAAAAGTGCGAGGGAGGCTCATTTGTTCCGTGAGTCATGTCTCTGTCTCCCATTCCTGACACACTTCCAGGTAACTTCACTGTGATGACCTGTTAGCCTCACCCAGCTGTCCACCAAGATCTCAGTCACCATTATTCATCCTCCTTGGAATGTTGCCCTGTGGGTGCAGTCGGTGGGCCTTTGGCTGCTAGCTCAAAGCTCAGAGGTTCAAACCCACCAGCAGCTCCATAGGAGAAAGGCTCAAGTGATCTGCCCCATAAATATTACAGCCTAGGAAACCCTGTGGGACAGTCGTACCCCATCCTATTGGGTCCCAATGAGTCTCACAGGGATCTCATGGTATGTAACAACGTCACACTCAGAGCACGTTCTACATCGCTGAGTGTGGCTCAATAAGCCCGTGGTTCTCAACCTTCCTAATGCCACGACCCTTTAATATAGTTCCTCATGTTGTGGTGACCCCCCAACCATAAAATTATTTTCATTCTTACTTCATCACTGTCATTTTGCAACTGTTGTGAATCGGGCAGGGTCGTTTGACCCCCAAAGGGGTCACAACCCACAGGTGGAGAACCACTGAAATAAGCTGAGCAGGGGCAAAATGAGGAGGGTTCACAACAGAAAAAAATGAGATGCAACTTACAACAACAAACAGTTAAATAGATGTTTTCAATTCTATTAGGAAAAATAGACCAAACTCACTCAGAGCATAGCGACCCTATAGGGCAGGGTCGAGCGCCCCCGTGAGTTTCCAAGAGCATAACTCTGTACAGCAGTAGAAAGCCCTGTCGTTCTCCCTCCTTGCTGCTCATGGTTTCAAACTGCCAACCTTGCGGATCACAGCCCACCACGTAACCACGGCGTCACTAAGGCTTCTTAGGACAAACAGAGGCCTCTGGAAAGCAATCTTTCTCCTGAAGGGGAGAAAGCTTCTCTGTTACCCAGAGTCCCCTGCCCTTGGTTCCCTTGAGAGTTTTACTCTCAAAGTAAGAGCATGCAGGAGAGTTGAGTTAGTTAGTTTATTGTGCCAACCTCGCCTTTCAAGTTTTCTGGTCTCTTGCTTTGTGACGGTCGCACCAGGGTGCAGCTGCCTTAGCAGTTCCCTGCTTCAGTTTGCAAGGCTCACTTCCTGCAAGGCATCCCCAAGGAGAAGCCACACAGACCTACCCCGATGCAGCCCTGGGTGCTGGAGCACCCATGTGGAGACCTCTGCCAGTGCTGAGATGTTTACACATTCACTGACTCGGCTTTCCTCTTGCAGTCGGCATCATTGCCTCTGTTTTGTGAGATGGAGGAGGACTTTGTGGACTGGTGTTGGACATAAGGGTTAATGGGTTAATGTTGGACTTGTGGGCTTGGGCAGCATTGGGTTGGGATGTTTTCTTGATGCACATTTAATCTTTACATAAAACTCTCTCTTATACATGAGTTGCTGTGGATTTGTTTCTCTAAAGTACCCAAACTAACACAAGAGTAATTACAGGAGCGTCTGCCCCTGGCCTGCCCGCCTTCCATCCTGTCATTCAGCTCAGACTCATACCCAGTGAGCGCAAAAAGTGGCTCATCTGTAGTTAAGGAGCCACGTTAATTAGAAGCCAGCTTCTGGTGTTCTTTTGACAATTCCCCATGCTTAACACAAAAGTCTGCCTTAATTAAAGACAGGAAATAACAAGTGTGGAGAGGGTGTGGAGAGAATGGGACCCTCATATGCTACTGGTGGGACCATAAAAATGTGCAACGTGTGTGGAGAGCAGTGTTGGCTCTCCTAAAACAACTGGGACTAGGAATCTCACAGGGCCCAGCAATGCCTTTGAAGAAGTAAGAACGGGGACTGGCCCCAATCCCAACTACGTGGATACCTGCCCCTCCCCCAAGAAGAATTTATTTCAGAGGACAGCACTGGAGCTGCAGCTCAGGGAGAGGAGGGC